ACGGGAAAAATTAGCTGGTCGCTTACGGGTCAACCGTTTGACTTCGTTCACAGTGAATCGATAGAGAAGTCTGTCTGATTGCGTAATATTTGATGATCTATGGGTTATTTCATGCATTACGTGAATAGCAATGTGACCCAGCTGCAATATTTGAAATTTCGACGATATGGTTCGGCTTCCTCAATTAACTAAGTACAATTCAAATTTATATACTTACTGATCCTAAATCAATGTTATAGCCTACTTGACCGCCTCAATCATATAATAACTCAGTATACCGAGTCTATAAATGTGTCTGTTTGTCTAGAACTGCACTTGGAGGTCAAATAGGCCATAACATTGATTTAGGATCAACGCAAACTGACTAGTATCTAGCTCGACAACAAGTGATTATTCCTAAATATTTAGCAAATGCAGCTCCCCAGCTACATTCAAAACAGTGGCCCAGTTTATGCTGCGCCCAACGTTCGATGCCAAATTTCACAGCCCTTCCCAAGACCAATCTAACAAATGCAGAAATTAATATTTGCATTACATGGCGCCACCGAGCTTTGAAGACCTCAGTTACTTATCTTTATTGAAAGAACGTTCTAAGAAACGTTCGTATACATGTCCCTCTACTAGCAGAAGACAAACATTTGTAGCGCACAACACTTCATATATATATATATATATATCAGGCGCCAAAATTTAAAGTCTGTAGTCGTGAGCCGGATTGCCTCGCTACTAGCAACCGTTCAAAAGTGAAACAGATGTGATATATGTTAAATTATAGTTAGGGAATTGTACATTGTAATTCTGAGAGTGATTTGTGCTTGCATATTGTGGTTTCCAAAAATATTACAAAACCGATGCATACGCAATAGAAAATCGGTATTTTTACAAGCCCAGTATGCTGTAATGGATAGGTATTTTTTATGAGTAAAGGACCATACCAATTTACATGTATCTAACCAGATGAAAACTGGAGGCACTTTTACTCTAAAACCCCCGAGCGAATGACCCTATGCCCCCATCTACGATATGAACGTAGCTGATTGATACGTTTATACCCAGCTTACAGATATATCGAATAGGATGTTCATGTTTTTGTTTGACATGCACATATAGTAGAAGATCATAGTTTGCAGGATGATACTGCATGCTGAAAAACAGTGTCTCTTAGCAAAAACTATAATATCTGTTACAAAAAAGCATATGCGATACATTTTGCACATTGATTTTATACTTTATAGTATAACTTTTCCCTAAACCATCTTTAAACGGATCAAGGTAATGACCATAATAAAATTACGTCAATACCATTAGAAAGCAATCTGTTTTTCGGTGTTCTTGCTTTTCATGTCTTGTGTTAAGATAAAAACGTTCGACTAATGAACAATCGTTGATTATCGGAAGACAGAAAGATGTCTGACAAATGTTTACAACTTTAGATACGCCTTAAATGACATCGAACTACAGTTACAATTATATAACGCATTACCAATGATAAAGCTATTTTTAAAAACTAGTATACAAAATGTGTATGGCTCGCTTGTAAAATTGCTATTGTCTATAACAGGTTGACCTCATCGACTTTAATCTCGTATGCAAGCCGGGTCTAAAGCTATGCCCTGACGTGGCGGCCATGCGGGCGTCTTCGTCAAGAAAGTGATCCCATTCGCTCGCTTCAATCCGCTCTCATTTTCGCTCATATTAAGGCTAATCTAGTCCATCTCTTAAACGGCGAAGGGTTTTCTTATTACGAAATTTTTGCTATGTACGCCACGACTACATGCGTAGGCCGATTAACTCGCTCTAATGATAGGCTTAGGACTCAAGCACCAGATGCAAACGAAACTTAGCTAGATGTGGCTCAGCCAATCCAGGACAGCGCCTGCTGCTGGACCAGAGCACGGGCGACACCAAAGGCCTTCGTCGCCCCGTTCATCCGATGGAGAGGCGGTCTGGACACGGTCGAAGGCTGTCCTTATTTTCCGGAAAAAAAAAACGTTAGCCATCTCTGTGTCTGTCAACTGGCCTTTCTCGATTCTTGCCCAGCAGCAAAATCAGTTCTGAGCTGCTCGGATTCTTCTGTGTCAGAGCCGAACAGTCAAATTACAATTATCATCAACTGGACCAGACATAATGCTAACGTCGTTACTGTCGAACCGTAAGTACATCGAACAAGCAATTATCGAATAAGTTACAGGCAAAATTTGACTTGCTGGATTGATATTAATAAAAGTCAAATTCCTTCAATCAAGTTGCTCTGTAAAAGTTAAAAAGCCAAGACTGCTATGATAACATACATCATCACCCATCGAACAAGAAAAGAACACACCGTTTTTCAGCTAGAGGAAGATATAAAAGATGAAAAAAAAAAACATTTTAGCAAAAAGAGCTTGCATTACCTGTTAATATCGAAAAACCACGTTTGAGCAAACAGTTCGAATACAAATTGCTTAATCTGCGATACAAGCATTATGGGTTTCGGTTTACGCTTATATTGAAAAAGATTTCAACAATATATTACCAAATCTAAACGCTGTTTCAATGTACGCTGCTTATTACTCTCATATAATTATAATATTATATTGCAGTGCTTAAAATAAGCTGGGTACATAGTATTTATAATTGTCGCCCTACTCACACTCTGCGCGGAAGGTACCGGCCGCTGAGTTGGTTTCCGCTGACTAGATGATATACCTAGAAGAGGCGCAACCGAAGACGTCGTTACGCGCCTTAGGTGCTACTATTACACGGCCTGGCTATCATCCCCGTGAGACACACGCATTTACGTACCTATATTACCATACGAAATGCTATGCGAGAGCCCATATGGTAACTGGCCGAAGCTAGCTGATGTTGGAGGAAACGATACAATGAAAGCTGGGCTTAGTAACTGGAGCGTCACTGTGTGGGTGACACTTTTTCTGTCTACATGTCCGTCTTCTTACTTTAGCTTGCACTCTTCCTTTACTATAAGAGTAGCTTGATAATATAGCACCATAGCTACGTTCCTAGTTTCAACCTTACGTATCACAAAAACAAAACACCATAGCTGTCCTATTAAATTCCGTTTCGTCTACTTTTTTTGTTCCTGCAGTCAACCGGCCTCTTGCAAATCTGATGTTGAACACAGATAGAGTTCAATTATATATCACTATTAAACAGGTGGTAATTAGTATGATGAAGGCAGCGCACTGAGTGACGGCCCGCAAATTGATGTTGAACACTAGGCGATTACCCCTTTTGTGAGGCTACGAAAACGCAAGTAGCTTTGGGGAATCGGCAACTATCGGTTGTTAGGAGAAGCATTGAAATAGCTTGGTCGACCGGGCCGGCTCAAAGCAAAGCATCGGGGGGAAATTGCAACATGCACACATTGGGGCTACTATGGCGTTCCACCAGGTTGAAGCAAGACAAGTCCCTACCGCTTCGGGTCGGCACTTATTAATTGGATATATATATATATAGCTGATGTAGAGATTCTTGGAAGTATCGAAAATGACTATAGAGAACTGCAGAAGCATTGAATCTAGCAACCCATTAGTAACCTGAATAGGCTTTAACACGTTTAGTTCTATAGTAGTTAAAATTAGGAATACTCCACAAAAAATGACTATCGAAAAAGGCGACGGTTTGTTTTTATAGCAGAATATTGTTATTGTTTTTTCTACAAGTATTTTTTAACATGAGCGCAGCAATAACCTGATCTTCTCTTGATGAAAAAAATATTCTCACATATCATTGCTTTGATCAATGCCTAGGCAATTCCATAGGAAACCTTTACAATCGAAAAGTGTTCTCAAGTCGGCTGCGCGGTTCCCGAAGTTTGTTAATTCATTTGCCAACATCGAATCATCCTACCAGATGGAAATCGCTACTTATACACTTACGAATACACCTAAAGCTTCCCAAGAATACTCTGTCCCTTAGAGCACACACAAATTGAACTCATAACCAGCAATCCAGAATCTGTCAAACTACAAAAAAAAAAAACTAAAGTTGAAAATCTCGTCTGACATAAGTGGAAAACAATGAAAAATTAGACTGAGTAAGCATAAAATGCACCACGTGTGTAGCTTCATAGGTGTTTAAATTCCGCATTTAGACGACTCCTGCTATAGCTTCTCTGTACGATTAGAATGTATTGAATTGGCTAATGTTGATAAGTAGAACGAAGCAACAAATGTCCAATTCTTTTTTTCTTCGTTTTAACATACGTCCACACTGCATTGCAAATGGCTCTAGTGCTTCTTATGATTTGGTATCGGATGGTCCGGCCGAACGAGAAAACGTCAGCTATCAAAACCATCAGATTTGGGCCCGGAACTTTCCCGGAAATATTTAAGAATGCCTTTTTAAAACCAACTTTGCCTAACACAACAAATTTGACCTTTAACCATAATAAAGAGATATGGCGTGATCGAATAGATGTCGCTTATAAAATACGTTACTATAAATGACCCCGACATGTCTTCATTGCAAGTTGTTTACCCCAGAAAAATTTTCGACGACGAATATAGCCTTTTAATCCGATTTAAGTTCATATGCGGACGGAATCAACTCAGAGATCAGCAAGCGAGGACGTTATTTGAGAGCTGGAAAGAAGATAAGGAAGTAACTTGCTAACATGAAATGCAACAAATTTCAAGTTCATTGAACCTTATCGATATTCAATAGGTGATAAAACTCTCGTTGAACGAAATTTGTTACGGCTATCTGTGACTAGTCTAAAAACAAGCAGCCCTAATAAGACAGTCGTTTAGAATAGAAACACCGACCTTATTCCTTTTCTTTGGCACAGGTCAGGATAGACCACAAACCTGGCGAGAGCTCAGATGATATGTACGATCGTATATTTGAGCGACAGAACCTGGGTCCTTCCCTTATTGGAGAGAGACCGTTGGAGAGGGAAAGAAGTCCTTTCTCAGGGCTAACTTACGGCTCGTATTGTCTGGGGGCAAACGGCTACCGACTTCAGTACAAAACGGATATTGCAAAAAATAATTTATTTGAAAAGTATCAAAACACTTTCAAAATGGATATGCGTGAGACTCCTTCGACAGTGGTGCATCGTCGGACACAATATTCGGGCTGCCTTATCATCGCACGTAGCTTTTTCAGATCGATTGGCGTTAATGCAGTGAATTTTCGATTCATTTAGTTCAGAGAATACGACGAAAAGTAGTTCATTATGGTGCAACACATTCTACCATTTGGAGACGTAACAGACCGGTCGATCACTCTGCCAATCCGAGTCACCCCAAATCCTCGAGATGCCGCTTCCTTTGAAAGTATAAATTGCGATGATGCTTTAATACAGACCACGGTTCCGCTCTGCTTTAGTGTAATCAACGAAACCTCATCAGCGCGGGCCGATGGTAGCGGGACAGCCATCGATACCGTGCCTCTATTGGGCGAACCGCCCCAGATGACGCCATCCGTGTTGGTACGGGTTGCTGTTCTGGGGGCGATCGGTAGCATATCGCTCATCGCCAATGTGATGGCATTGGCTTCAATATTTCGCATGCGTCAGAGAAGGATATCTTCTCACAACTCAAGCCTGTACACATTATTGGCGCATATGGCAGTAGCAGACCTGCTTGTCACGTTATTCTGCATAGTTGCTGAGGCATGTTGGACGTATACGATTGAATGGATGGCAGATGTCTATACGTGCAAAACTCTCAAGTACGCTCAATTGTTCTCGCTCTACCTTTCGACGTTCATTCTTATCGTGCTTGCACTGGACCAGCTGCTCATTGTTCGATATCCCCTACGTAAAGACACAAATATTGTGACTATTAGAAGGGCAATTATTTCTGCCTGGATCGTCGCTGCATTACTCTCCGTTCCACAGGTGGGTTCTAAACACAAAGGCTCAACAAGCTTTCTTTTCAGTACAACAATAATATGGCCTATATAGAGCGTTCAGGAACCTAACAGAGTCTCGGTGCATCGATTTCAGTCGATAAACGGACGTAAAAGTATCAATTAAGGAGAGCCTTGCATCTTCGTGGTCCCGGAGACCAAGATCATATTTGTCATATATTTGTTAGGGTAATTGTAGTGATATCAGTGATAAATGCGTGAACGTAAATGTACCTCTATGTGCACTCGATATCGTTTCTAGTAAAAACCATAAGCGTTTGGCCAATGGTTGATTTTTGCTGAGGAGTCATTGCTCTAGCGTTAGCTTAATACCGATCGTAGCTATCAGCCTGTTCGTCTAATTTGCTAGGGGCTTTCAACATCAAGTCGGGGTAAGCTCAGGTATGAGCGCATTAGGAAAATGTGGCGGCAATTGTCAGACCTGATCAGTGTTCCAAGTCAAACACCTCATCAACGTTTCGGCTATCAGCAAGCTATATTAGCGCAAGTAGGTTAGTAATAGAAGAACAAGTTAACCTTGCTTAGATTATTAAAGTGTATTTTCCTGTATTGTGTAACTCGTTTTTCGAAGTTACATGGGTTTCGAAGTTGCAACGGCCGAAGTAAGGATGTCGTAAGCTCATCACTACCCCACCTCTTTGACGAGAAGTTGATTGCAATGAGTACGTTCCTTATATGGGCACCATTCTCCAAACAGATGTGATCTCAATATGCTGCGGAACACAGATCGTTCTGCGGCAAAACAAATATTTACAAATATTATTATTTTTTTCTGTTCAATGACAGTTGTCGTGTAGTATATGTCATTGGCAGAGTTTGAATTGGCGAGCGATTGGATTGTTTTCCAGCCAGGGATATGGCACACACGCATGTTAATGATGGCTCAAGGAGTAGCTCATCCAGATGATTTCTGAAAGAAGTTAACTAGAAGTGTATAATCTGCAGGCGGATAGGCTTTTCCAAAAAAAAAAAGTAAATTCATCAAATATGCCTGTAGGTAAGTGTGTATAAGGTTTAAGTGTATAAACCTATGTATAAGGTTGATCGCATGGCTATGAAAGTTCTATATTATGAGTTGATTTGAAAGTGGCAAACCGCTCGAGTTCACGTATTCTATTTGGTTTGTCCAAAGTTACTAATGGATTTCGCTCAATACATTTGATTCGTTACATTATCCTCTAAGTTTTTGTTTCTCCTGCGGAAGCTTCCGTATTTACTTTAACGCCCGATCGGTTTCCTGCTTTCCCGAAACGAGATTGACCACTATTCCTGAATGAGTGTAGCGCAAAGTTTTTTCAATAAGTTATGATTCATAGAAATGGCATGATAATTGTTTGTAATTAATTACAAGAACACCAGAAAAAATGCAAGAAAATTTATTGCACCAAACGAACATGGCTATCCTCAGCTTCGAGCCTCTATTATCGCTGGGCGAACTGCACAGATCTTAAATAACAAATGTTTATTCGGTTCATAAACGCTAGGGGCCTCACACACGCCTGTGGACAAATACATTTTGTAATGTATTTGGTAACATAAACTAAAATGCCGCAGTATTTCTCCTCGAGAGTTTCATATTCTCTTTGGCAGATTTGAACATTATTTCCAATGAACTATTGTTTATTAAGCGTATTTTTCTTTAATATTAATATAAGAGAAATATTAACCGAAATCATCATCATCATCGGATTACCACATACCAGGAACCCGCTTAGACTCAAGGGTTTCTCAAGCAATTAGTTGTATAACATGAAGAAGCAATATCTACGGAGTTCCCATAGTTTACTTGAACAAATAGGTTTCGTATAATTATAGAACGTAATAACATAAACCGTAAAATACCTAAGAAGATCAAATTTTAGGTTTATGAAGGTTTATATTTTTTTCTTTGAAAAACATCTATAATCTATTCTGCGTGTGAGTTTACAACGTGTCACTTCGGAATACTGCGCAACCGCCTGAAGTTTTTTTAGAAGGAACAAAAGGCTCTATTTGCTATAGAGAAAGGATAGCCATCCTGCACTTTTTATTTTGATGAATAAAAGCTAGTACCACGAAGCTATGACGGGCAAAAATTCGTTAGGTTTAAGCGTTCCTTACCCGCTTAAGCGTTCCGACCATATTCCTTCTCGATGACTTCCCCTATGTATGGGTTGTGTCTTTTTGGCACATTCTATGTATGTTAATCCTTTCCTATTCTTTTCAGTTTTACCTGTGTAGTCTGCGTAACCTTAGGCGTAACATTAGGACAGTGAACCATATAATGGATCGTTACCTATTACAGTGTGAAGCTTATTAGTTGCAAGTGAAAGGCTGGCATGAGCAGTTATAAAACGAACCTGTTCCATGTTCGATGATTCAGTGATCCTCCACAATTTTTCGTGACTGACCGGTACGGAATTTCGGAGTACCGCTGAGTTGCCGTGAAGGTAAACAACCCGAGAGATGTGATTTGGCATAAATCTTAATATTTTCAGATTTGCGCATGCTCCGAAAGAGTTTTACATCTATCCTAAAAAGTGCGCCATCACCTAAAAGGTCAGTGGAAGTTAAAAAATAGAAATAAAAAATAGCCCCAGCTTATTTAACCCTGCAATTCCCGTTAGAAATTTTAATGTAGTGCTTTTAAACTGTCTTTACATTACTCGCGTTGAATGTCTACCGTTTAATCTTAACAGTAGAAGCTTTCCGACACAAATAACACAGAACAATGCGTATATTAATGTTTTATCATTATGATATCTCCATGTACCATTTTTTTGTTTTTGTTTTTGTTCCACATTAGCTAAGTTCAGTAGCAGGGATTTCGGCAACAAATACAATTTAAACTACGGCAATAAACTGATAAAAAGCTTAAATAAACTTGGTAAGCTAGTTAATTTCCGTCAGTCAGTTTATTCTGTTAATTTCTAAAAAACTAGCGCTGCTACAGAGAGAGTGCACGGGGAGCACCAGCGAAACAGGAATCATTGGCTCACGTTTAAGCAGAACTTGAGGTACAACATAAGGAACCGCAATATTCCATATTTTAGTGTTCCTTAAAATTGATCTGACCGATATATATGACTTACCGCATGTTTTTGAAATAGATGACCAATAAAAGCTTCTGAATTTGCCTTGAGGAAGCGACGTAACATGCAATGTATTAAAATTTCTTGATTGATATGTAATCTATATGCTCTCATGCAGAATTACGCCGCTTACGAAACATTTGCCTCGACGATTTTAATGTAGTTTCCGGTTTAGAATTGTAAAAAACTTAATAAATGCTGAGTAATAGTATAAAGTGCTTCCATGATGCTTAGCACTGAAAGATGGCTTTACCAAATGTTTCAACGTGACAAAACTGATAAGGATAAGAATATTCCATATGAAATACAGTGTTTCTAGAAATTGGTTTAAATCTGAAGCAGGTTAAATTATTTTTTGACCTCACCAGAAAAATTAATTTGCCGGTTTGTAGGAATGCCGGTATATAGAAAGGTTGTGCCAGCAGATGTCCAATGCAATGATTCGACTTAGCCGTATACCGAAAATTGCGCACGATCCGTACCTTTTGAATTGGACGAACGATCACACTATTTCGTAGAATAAATCTAGCTCGTTTTGATTGAGTCACTATGATGTGAATGTATTGGGCCACGCGCAACGATAGCCATCCGGTCTGTTACTTGATTCGGTAAATGTGAGCTGCTTTTGGTCCAGGTAACATACTTCACGAAACTCTCTGAGGCTTGAACGCTGACAAAGATGGCGCGCACAGTAATCAGCAACGGAACTGGTTATCTAATATAAAGTAATATAATCAATAACAGAGATGATGTTTTTAAGCATGTGTTCGTTTGCATATGTAATAAAGCTGAGATGACTCGTTGTACCCCGTAGAGGACAAGACACTTTAGCTTAAAATAAGACACATAGTAACCATTACCTAGGTTATGGGTTATGGGGGTTACCTTCATTTTCAGAAAGCTTAGAATTGTAATCATCAACAGTGTGTAGCTCTTCGATTGAGATGACACCTGTAGATTACGAGAGATATAACTACAGCTAGCAAGGCGGAAGTCCCTCGATTATCAGATGTTCCAAGGAGCTCAGACCAAGATCACTGAGGCAGACAATCAGTGACGGCCTATCGTTGTCACCAGTACACCCCTTATCGCTCAGATTATATGTCCTGATTTACCTGAGTTGCTGATGCACGGAAGAACTGGCCAAGGAAATCTCGTAGGCAGCTGAGAAGTGGACGTGAGAGGAAGAGAGCTCATCACTCCAGTGACTCCCCTATACATAATATAGGAGGCTCATGTAGCTTTGCTCGAGGCCTTCGTAGTTGTTTCTTTGCTGCCCTTCAATACAATATATGTGCATTTTCCCAGCTGCTGGGTTTGTCACCTTTCAGCTGGTCAGCCCTCAGCCGAAAGGGAACGACTGTATTTATGGTGGAAGTGTATGGAGTAAAAAATCGGTTTCTGTTACCAAACGCAACGATATAATATTTGAATAACGTGTCTTCGCAATGTGTGATTAGCAGTGAATGAAGAAAACACTCCACTTAAGCAGCGATAGCAGCTTTTCAACATGGTACCATGGTTCATATGGCTTTGTGATACCTTTTCAAGCTTTACCTAAACTCCATGCAACGAAACAGTGCTATACAGTGTACGCTTGTGAATACCAATAATAATTACATAAAAATCCGATTTGAAATATACTTCGGGCGTGTTCTTCGATTAGTACCGAGACGAAAATACACAATATACGTGTCAGATAGGTATATACCATTTTATCGTCCTGTATAGAGAAACGCGGTTCATTAAGCTATAATGTTAACCATCTGCACCATCTCTACTTATCATTGCTTTCATGTTGACCACGATGTAGAAGATCGATATAGTGCTAGCAATGAGAATCTTCAACGCAATCATTACGGATCAGATTCGAAAAGAAAACATGTGTAAAAAAAAT